CTCCAACGAACAAACTTCTTTTCAGCAGCGTCCTGATGGACCTGCATATCACCTTTCAATTGTTACCCACTCGGCGAAAGGATTTAGGTTTCATCTATACTTTGGCCTACCACAGCTAGTTAAACTTTTATTGTGACCACTTAAATAATCATTTTGACGAGGATTGGAAATATTAATGAGGGACCGTTACCTAGGAAAGAAACATCGAAAAAGCCGTCAACTTTTCTTTCAGTGTGACCGTTGGAAGAGGCTCACATTTTGCCACCGTCCTGCATGTGGAGGATTTGAGATCACAATTGCCTACTCAGTATGAGAGATTTGTATCCTTTCCGTGGTGTCTGTTTCCTTCCTAAATCATGGGCTAACAGCTTGTGTGGACTGTTTGGGTTATTCCCTTCGTATATGGGACTTAGTTTGCAAAGTATTTATTCGCATAATAGTAGCTCCTGAATCCTTTAGTTTTGTAATACAGGGTATCACGGAACCACAGTCAAGCTTTTAACCAATGTGCATTACTGCTGTCTGGATTGATTGGCAAACTTCGGTCTTTGGACGATTCGATTAGCTCAAGAAAGCAGCCTGAAGCTCTTCGCCTTCTTCAGTTTTATGAAGAGTCTTCCAGATCCCGGAATCAACTGTGATTACTAAACGTTTCGCAAAACATCTGTTGAGGAAATAATAAACAACTCGGTAGGGTGCCCCAAAGAATGCCACTAGTAGCTCTTCAGAATGCAGCCCATTTTTCTGGACTAGCCTAGTGAACCAAGATATTACTGGTCACTGACACGCTTTATGCTGGATATAATAGGTCAAGGGGGAGTATATACATGAATTATGTCAAGTTTTTTTGCATCTTAAAGCAAAAATTATGTGACCATTAATCACCAGCAGTTAGAAAAACCCAGGTAAACACTAGGAAGACCTGGAAGATGAAATTAGCTGTGTTATCCGAAAAAGGACTTTGACCAAGGGTTTCAAGTGACTTTTGATGCAAGTGAGAAAACAAAAGTCAAATTTACGGAAAATCGCACTTACGTCTGGCTTTTTCCAAAATAGTTGTCGCACTTTCAAGGCCGTAAGGCATTTTATGCAGCCAGGGTAAAAGTGAAAGTAAAGAAACTTCATCTCTGTCTACCTTCCTGCTTTCTTTGTGAAAGTGTTTCATCTACCACGAAGAAACTTCAGTAGACAATCTATACCTCCGAAGCTGTAAGGGAGAAAAAATAACGACTTCTGCAACGACTGATGGTTTATATCCTACCAGAAGTAACTAAAGCCTGAGATCTGGAAGTTAGAGCCCGAAACTAAAAGTTTCCTCTACTCGCAGTACATCGTTGGATGTCAGAACCTAAAAATCGGATATTTCATCAGTCAGTAGAAACCCCACATCCAAATAAGTGCCACTAGTTAACTCAGAGACATCTCACATTACGAGAAACACCTCCAAGTGTCTCTACAGCAACATGAGAGGACTCCGAAGTAAAATGCTAGAGCTCCGATCCCTCTGTCTCGACCTCGCCCCCCGAAAATCATGATCCTGATAGAAACGTGGTCGCCATCAGACATAATTGACGCCGAAGTTAACATAAATGATATGATTCTGCTCAGGAGAGACAGAGAACATAGGGACGGAGGGGGGTTACAATACACGTGAACAAGTGGTTCGGAAGTGAACAAACCACTGACACAGCACTGACAGAGCTCCCAGACTCTATCTGGTGCCACTTCACCGTCAAACACACCAAATTCTTAGGTGGAGTCTATAGGTCCCCTAATAGCAACCTGGAACATAACCAAAAACTACTCCGAGCAATATCCACTGTGTCAACCGTAGGGTACGACCAGATTTTAATAGCTGGCGACTTCAACGCTCCAACCCTGAACCTAGAGCAAGGTGGCACTACCCCCAGCCGGAAGTTCGACTGTAATCTGCCAAGCGCCATCCAAATGGCTGGACTGCAGGAAAAAATCAGCGACAACACCCGCTGGGGGTCAGATGGTAAACCATCTAAACTGGATTACCTACTGACTAGTGATCCCCTTTTTGTTGAAATCGTTCAGGTGCAAACCCCTCCTGGAAGTAATGTTCGGCCTGGCAATTAGAGAAGAGCTATCATAGGAGGGACCTCTCCCTTACCTATGTAACAACAAGGCAAAGTACGAAGGTATGAACAAGAGCCTTTCAACAGCTTCGTGGCCAGTGGATTGGTGTTTCTTATGGATCGACCAGCACTGGGAACTGGTAAAAAATATCATTAGGGCGGCCGTCTCGCGAAACGTCCCTTTGGCGTTAACAACAACCAGAAAGCGAAAGCCATGGCTAAAACGAAGCACTGAGCGCCTTCTAAAAGCCAAGAGAAGGGCATGGCACACATGGAGACTCTTCAGAGAACAGGACGACCATGACGCATACACGACTCTACGGAATCGAAGCAACATAAGGGTGTGGGGAGACAGGAGGTCGTTCCAGTCCAACCTAGCCGAAAGGCTTGAGGTAAACCCTAAAAACTTTCATCGGTTCATGACAAAAAGAAAATCGACAAACCAAGGAGCATGTGTCATAAAAGGTCCCAAAGGAGACAACCTCTCCGGGCAGGAGATTGCTGAAATGCTGAGCACCACATGTGACACACAGCTCAACATTCCATCAAGGAAGTGGGCATACCAATTGCATGAACAGCCCCCAACGTTACCCGATGCCACTGAGTTACATGAAATACAGATAACTCGCTCTGTTGTTCTCGACAAGCTTTTAAAGTTAGGCGCGGGAAAATCCCCAGGGTGCGACGACATTCGCCCATCTGTGTTGAAAGAATATGCAAGCACCCTAAGTGGCCCACTCTGCAACCTCTTCCAACACTCCTTGGATGAGCGAAAGCTCCCACGAGAGTGGAAACGGGCCATCCTTCCTCCCATCTTCAAAGGAGGAGACAGACAGAATCCCAACTGTTATAGACCCATAGCACTTCTCCCAGTAATATCAAAAGTACTGGAAAGTGTGATGGACGACCGTATCAGAGAATATCTGGACACCAAGCGGGCACTCAGTGACGCTCAACATGGCTTCCGGAAGGGTAGGTCCTGTGTCTCCAACCTCCTGACGGCCCATGACCACTGGACAGCATGCTGGGATCTCAAGGTCCCGGTCCACGTAATTCCTCTGGACCTCGCCAAAGCCTTTGACACCGTCTCATACCGTATCCTAATACATAAGATAGCTGGGTTAGGTATTCGCAGCCAGGTGCTATCATGGCTGCAGAACTACTTAGACAACAGGGAGTTCTGCACGAAAGTCAACAGGGTCTACTCGGAGAACATCCTCATCCGGTGTCTTAAAAGGAGCAATCTTGTGCCCACTGTTGTTCCTACTGTTCCTAAATGACTTGCCGCAACATATCAGCTCCCCGATTCTCCTGTACGCTGATGATGTCAAGTTATGGAGGGCGGAACCTATAGCATTACAGAAGGACCTCAGAACACTGGAGGAATGGGGAACCAATAACGAACTGGCATTTAATCTGGGTAAGTGCCGGTCCATGTTTTTCCGCACTCCTGATCCCCAAAAAATATCCTCGTATTTCTGTGGGTCACGTCTATTCCACACCACAGCAGAAAAAGACCTGGGTCTAACGGTGACGGAGAAGCTGGACACCAGTTAATAATAAATGTTTTATTCTCGCGTTAAAAAGAGATTTTAACATGAGAGATGCCAGTTTACAGGCTTCATCACGTTGATACATCTCAAAATATCTACAAGACTTGAGCCCTGAGTGGTACTGACGGAATGTCGTTAAACTCAATTAAAAACTGCCGAAGGTTCTGCTAGTTATGAAATGAACGAGGAAATATTACTTTACAGCGTACGTAGAGTGTTAAAGTTTAGATAATAGCAAATGTTGTCTTCATTTAACAGTTCCAATTGCCCTGGTGATGTCTCAAAAGCATATGGGATACCACACTTTGTGCGTAGACAACTGGGTGCCCTCACCCCAGATCTCTTTCTGAAGCTCTACAAGATTTACATACGGCCCCACTCAGAGGTCCATAACGTCTTCTCTCCACCACAGCTGAAAAGAGGCGCGGACTTACTGGAGCAAGTCCAGAGGTGAGCCACAAAGGGGGTTGTTGGAATGCAATGAAAACCATATGGGGATAGACTCAAAGACCTAGGTCTATACTCCCTCAGCTATCAAAGGATATGTGGCGACTTAATAATGGCTTACAAAATAATGAGTGACCCAAGTCACCCAAACAGAGGAGTCCTACCGAGTGGCCATTACGGAGATCCTCGGGGAGACCCCAATAGAATAGCACACCAGGGGTCAGAAATGCATGTGCATTCACAGTTCTTCTCCCTCCGAGTCTGTGGGTACTGGAACGCACTACCAGCATAGGTGGTCTCCGCCCCAACTGTTGGAAGCTTCAAGAAGAGGCTAGACAGTCATGCAGAGACTCACAGTCTACCCACGCATAGCTGGAACACGAAGTGACGTCAAGCCACCCCAACCAGTTTTCTTTCTATTATATCCATTTAAACCATTTTCACCCCTTCCACTTGCCATAAGTTAGCCTCACTTACCCAAGTTCTTCATACCTTTGCGCCCTTACTCACCTTACTTGGGTGTAAGTAGATTGCTCCATTAGTTCACTTTTCCTCTTTTCTTTTACTTACACAAACACCTTCTAGGTTTTCTCTTCACTGTCCCCAACCCTCTCTAGCGACCAGTCCTAACAACTGTCTGGCAACTCGACATGTGAAGAAGCCAACTGCACCACAGTCCAAGGCAAACAAACCAACACTTAACTTCCTGTTCTGTAAATCAGAGCTATAGCAGACGAGTGGCTGGACCTACTGCATCGGAATTCGCCGAAGATCTGGAGCCGTTCCGCAAGACCAAGAAGCGAATGCGAAGAAATCAATTGGTTTACACAAGCTCATGAAAAAGATATTGGATACTGGATTCCAAGGCCATGTACCAACGCCCTTGAAATACGATGACAAGTCAAATTTGCGATGTTGTAAGGCGTTTCAAGCTGTTATGTAAAAATAACCCTGATAAGTCGGAAGCTGTGGCCGCCATCGAGGTTCTTGCACACCTTCTCAAATGTCCAGATGTAACAACAGTTCAAGGGCTATACGATGTAATGAATGATGCTATTGGACGCATGTGGGAAGAAGGTGTTAGCAATCTCTCTGTAATATCGGCTTGCGAACTGTTCCAGCGCTTCATTACTTTGGCAACATTAGACACTGTTGGCTTTGACGAATGCAAGAAAGTGCTTTCAGAAAGGGCTCAAATCTTTATTCGGAAGGTAAACGTAATTTCATTGCTGTTAGGTGTGTTATATGCCTATGTTTTCTAAATAAGTTCAAGGCTCTATATGTATTGGCAGTAAGTAGCGAGGTGTGTGGATTTGTAAAAGCGATCGGTGGTTTTTTTTCGTTTATCAGACCAGACACATCTTGATAACTACGATGACATCTGTAGAAAACATGAATTTTGAATTTTCTGTGGTATTCCAAGGTTATATATACTTTCACATGTACATTTTCCATACACTGCGTATTTCATTCCGCGAAAAAGTCTGAGTAACCCATTCAGATACTTAATACTTCCGGTACTCAAAGATGTATCAGTCATTTAGCTGTTTATTTGATTTAAGTAAGTCTGTTTCTGATTGCAATAAAAAAAATGGAAGTTAGGGAGACGTGGAACTGCACTTCGAAATATTTTCACACTTGTTCATAGCCATTTATTCACGTTTCAGCCAGATATTGAATGATCTTAAATCTAATACCTTTCACATCTGACTATTTCTAGTATTGCTTATTAAGCAGCCTCATGAAATGTGAATAGTGTTTTGCACCCATAGAAAAGTTAGTTTATGCTAATCTACGTAGGTACTAATTGTGAATATTCTGGATTGTTGCACCAAGTTTATGAGCCTTCGTGTATGCCCTAATAGTAATTGACCAGACTTAAAGTATTCACTTAAATAATGGTCTTCGTTTGTTCTTCTAATTCTCTTGTCTCTTCCTAAGTTCTCACTTGTTTTACCTACAGGTTCATCTGAACATTGAATAAAACATGGATCTTTTGGGTTGCTACTTTACCATGGTTATTAAAGTGAATCTGTATGACAAGTCCACTCAAAGTAGGTATGTGATCGGATCTAAAACAGTTGATATAGTGTCGTGAGCTTTGAATAATAAGGATTTCATTTCGTAGTTCGCTAGTCTAAGTTTTCAGAGCTGATGGAAGTCCTTAGTTTTCTCTGTAACTCGGTCTTGAATTCTCTTTGACCCAACTTTTATAGCAGAATTGAGTGGAAATACTAACTGTGCCTTTCGATATTCGGCTAACGAGCTCCAATAAGTTTCTACCGTGACAGTTATTCACTCCTTAACGAACACTTCAGCATTCTTTGGGTGGTTCTCCCTCCTTCGGTTCACCACATGAAGGGCTCCCCAAAATTAGTCATATACAATTATGCAACCACATAAATGCTTGATTACTGACTAAACCATTTCAGGGTGCATATATTGTAGTCACTGACCATCTAATTTTTGGTAGGTGTAGTGGAGTTCGCATGTTAAATGCATTTGCGTTAAATCATATTTTACAGTTCTACAACTCTACATGCACTGGTTATCTGTATCATTAAAAGTTCTCAAGCAATGATTGTTTAACTACCGTTAGCCAATCCAAGCTACAGATCATTGGTGTAAGTACTTGACCTCCAGCCGATGGATCATGAAGTCGAGTCTGATTCCATCTGCTGAGTTCTAGGCAGTCAGGTAATACCATTAGCCCTCATGTTAAAGAGATAGACGATCTAAATATAGGACTAAGCATTACTGCATAATAGCCCACATTATCATAGCATATCAAGTGAGACAGCACTAAGATGCAAAACAAGAAATAAGGAAAGTAGTCAAAAGTGTTAGAAAGTCATCAAAAGAGCAAGGGAGAAAGAAAGAATACCGAAATTTGGTATTATGGTGAAGTTGAATTCAGGTCAAATTTTGATCTTGAAGTTTACAAAATTATTACTAACCGTATCAAGTTTTGGTATTATGGTTAAAATGAAGATGATATACGGGTACTTCTCAGCCACTGACATCGATTCCAAACCACCTTACTTAGAATCTCCAACCACTGGTTTCTATTGTCAAGCAGACGTCAACCGGGAAGTCTGTATTTCCCCATACTGCTCAAGTCAGCAGTCAAAGACTTCATGGACTCTTACCGAGTGGTCTAATTAGCCACAGCTTCATTCATGATATGTAGGATAGACTGAAGCTCGGTGTAGCTAGCGTACATTTCAGATCTTACATCACTTAGAATGTCACTCGATGCAAAATAATTTGGAGTTTTGGCTCACCTCTTCATATGTATCAACCATCTGTTCGCACATCTGTTGATTTTCCCCGGAGATTCAAATTAGTTTCTTGTCACTTCAGGACTCAGAAATCAACCCGACCTCAGGTCAGTTTCATGGTATTTACCCATCTACTACTTGAACAAGTTGGAGATGATTTTCATGTTGGTCTTTTCTGCGATCCTTAAGTATTCGCTGATGAATATAATTTAAGTTACTGTTTCCCCTTACCAACGGTTTTAATATCCTGTCAGTACACTCTCATTCCTTATAACAGTTCCAACAACAAAGTTATGGCTTTAAGGATGTCCACTGTTAGGATTCATTGAGTGCTGTGGTAAAACAAAGTCATTAAAAGTGTCTCCTTAATCTAAATGCTTTTGTCAGTTCATGGGTTATAGTCTTATTTGCTGCCTCACTTAATCACCAGGTATATTTTGCAAGCTGTTGTTATAGATAGTAGTCACAAGTCTGTTTGGGATTACCGAGTCTCACATTAAAGCAATTAAATTGATCCGCAGCTATCTTACTATACAACTTTCGCTTTTAATTTTTGTGCATATACTTCTCTTATTGTTGATAAACGTCTCTCTTTTCTTACTACAGGTTGGATCATGCAGACAACAAATAGCAGAGAATTTCCTGAATTACATTCCTAATGGTTCAGTAGTATTTTTGCACTCTTACTCTCGAGTTGTTCTTGCCGCTCTGTCTTATGCAGCATCTGCTCAAAAGTGTCTTCATTGTTATGTAACAACGTGTGCACCTAGTGGATTGGGCGCAAAAATGACGAAGGCCTTGGCCAAGCTGAAAATTTCTTGTACTCTTGTACCAGATACTTCGCTAGCTTATTTGATGCCTCAGGTTGACCTTGTTGTTCTAGGAGCTGAAGCTGTGGTGGAAAGTGGTGGAATATTAAATATGCTTGGTTCTTCATTGATTGCAATGACAGCCTCTACCTTTGGGAGACCAGTGTATGTTCTTGCTGAATCTTTCAAATTTATGCGATGTTATCCTCTTGATCAACGTCATATACCAGATGAATTTAAGTGGTCCCGTAATCTTGAATATGGATCATTGTCACCATCACCTCTTTCTAACCTAAGGGATGAGAATAATTTCTACTTAGAGGGTGACGAAGATAAATGTGATTTTCCAGAAATGAGAACAGCCTGGGCTGCAGTTGAAGCGCAGAGAGTTTCTGTCATTGAACAAAAAATGCCTCGTGTTGATTACACAAGTCCATGTTACATCACGTATTTAATAACAGATCTAGGTGTGCTGACACCTTCGGCTGTCAGTGATGAATTGATTAAATTGTACTTGTGATAATTTAGTTGTGAATATATATCGATCCGCATATTTAATAGTTCTTTCTCAAATCAAATGGTCTAAATTTCTAGGCTCCAATGTTTTACTGTGCTTTTATTCCTTTTTTCAGTTTCTCAATATGAATGCGTATATATGTCTGTATATCCTAATTAATTTATTCAATGTTGACAAATTGGCAACAGCAACAAACCTGGAAGAGAATTTTCCGGACCCTACATCACGGTTACTAGTTATTTTAATTGATGGACTAAGATGGGATGTAGTAGCTCGCCATTTAGAGGAAAAAAACAGTGAATTCGGATTCAAAAGATTACAAAGAAACGGTGCATACTTGGAACGTTTTGCTCCCGTGTTTCCTGCAGAATGCTATCCAAATATTTATTCATTGTTTACAGGTAAAAAGACATTTCATAATACTATAGTTTTAAAACTTTTCTGTGTAAACTGGTACAGTTTTTAAATGATAGTTTAGTAATAAGAAGGAGTTTATAACTTGGTAACGACAGATACTGAACCCTCCCAAGGTCCCAAATCATACGATGCAAATAACTTCCTGCTAGCTGCTATACGATCTTCTGCACTCAGTATGTGGGACAAGATACGGATTTCCAACACCAACGTCAAGTCAGTGCTTCTGTATGGTTCAGAGACTTGGCGCGTCACGAAAGGGATTTCCAATAAACTACAGACATTCATCAATAACTGCTTACGCTCGCTACTGAAGATCAGATGGCCAGAATAATAAGAATAAGCAACAAGGAACTCTGGGAACGAACCAACCAAGAACCTATCACGCAACAAATATGCAGGAGGAAGTGGAGATGGATTGGCCATGCACTGAGAAGGCCGACTGAGGACATCACGCGTCAAGCCCTCGAGTGGAATCCCCATGGGAAGCGACGAGTTGGACGTCCGAGGGTGACATGGAGGAGGTCGAGCGAGGAGGAAATGAGAGCTTGTGGGCTGTCGTGGGTCCAGGTTCAAAAGATCTCAGAGAACAGAGGTCACTGGAGACGTGCTACTGAAGCCCTATGTTCCACTAGGAACCCAAGGGACTAATAATAATAAGCTGCCATACGATAGCAATGGTGTACAAGCACAACAAACCAAGTACGCTAGGTGCATATGGTGAAACGATACTAAGGTTAAACCTAGGCTCATCCAACATTCAACAACACTTTGTGACAAAACAATCTTCGGTTGATATTCCTAAACTTAGATTGATCATAATTTTCGGATATTGTTAGCTTTTAATTTTAATGATTGACTGTTTTCATTTATCACGTCAGAACCCTAGACATATCTATACACTGAAATAGGAAATCATACGATCATAAGAGCACTTCTTTTTCAAACATGAGCAGGGTTAATACTTATCCTGTGTTTAGCGGACTCTTTTTTTCGCCCCTTGAAAAACAAAAAAAGGAAAGAAAATACACTAACACTTATTTCTGAAGTCTGTGATGATAAAGTTGTCTAAAATGTCAACGAAAGCTCCATGATTCAACAATCGTGTTCAGAGAACTCAACCTCATCAAAAAACTCTAATTTCGTTTGGTCTCTCAGATAACAGTCTTATATTCAGGAGCTGTAACGATATTTCAGAGTTTTTAGTGGTAACCTGATTTCTAGAAAGATGTTTAAAAGGCGTGTTTATCATTTTGGCTTTTTCAAATAGTATACGTGTCATACCAAGATATCTTGTTAGCTTTTTATTTCATAAATACCTGGACCACGTTTCTAAATAACTACTTTTTGCGTTCAAGATGAATACGTCACTCCCGAAGTCGATTATTGGCATTATCATCCCTTTGAATCAAAATGACAGACAGACAAATCAAAATAAAACCGCTGACAGAAGTACATCGGTCCGAGTTGCCGTACTTCGCAGCAACATGCAAAGAACAAGACGAACAGAAAGAAAAGTCAAAGTAGATAAAACTTTACAGAAAAGATTAAGAAGGTGAAGGTTTGTGAAAATATCCAAACTTTCGAAGGTATCTAAGAGTGGGTACCGATTTTCAACCGTGTCACCCAGTCTCCAATCATTGGTTTGTATTTTGTCGAAGATCCCAGTCAGACAATTCACACGTCCCTACACTACTCAGGCAAGTAGTCAAAGACTTCATGAACTGGTGCTACGTCTTGGTCTGGTCACTGAACTTTCTATCAACCTAATTCTACTTTGGCTAACATAGCACGTCGATCTAGGCCATACGCAAAACATATGCCACGTCAATCAGTGAAAGTTCGCAACCTCATTGACTGGCATCTGTAGTACCCTCCGCCTAACAGTGACATTTCTTACACGCCAGCTATGTACAAAACGACCTGTGGTCAAAAACCAGTGACCGCTTGATATCTTTCAACGACCATACCTCACAGTTGTATTATAAGACAGAGTGAACTGTAGAACAATGTACTTAACCTTTAATAGATGGTTTGATATCTCACCAGCACCAGAGATGATGTAAGTTGGTAAATTTAAAACAGGCTCTTTGAATCAGAGCTGAAATTTCATCAGCAATTAACCCCTTTGAACTAGTGAAACCTCCCAAGTAGGTGAAGTGGTCGATGCATCCTAACACTACTCCTTATCCCTAAAAAGAGTAGTTGCAGACCAGTCTTGAAGCATCATTTAGCAAGTATAAAACGCATGGCATACATACATTTTTGACCAAGGTGTTCAGAAGATTGCATTTTGCCATTTTCTTTGCTTAATGGGACAATGTCGTCGCTGTACTCAAAGTCATTTAGATGCCCTTCAAGGGGCAAGTCAGTCTTTGTGAAACTGGAGGTACGTATAGTTATGCCTATTGACACATCTATAGTGAAGTTAAACGGCAACTGTATTACCTGGCATTCCGGGTAGATACCATCGGTTGTCGTCACATGTGATGATAGCTTCCCATACATTTTTACATGGCTTCATAAGTTCAGGAAGAGAGGTTAGATTAGCATTAAGTAATTGCTCAACATTGCCTGCTTTGAATATTTTCAGGTTAGGAATAGCCCTTTCAGCTTCTTTAAGAGTTGGACGATCAACATCTTTGTCCCACTCAGGTTTGGAATGAATACTGGACAACCGAAGCCTGGATATGGGTCAGTTGAACTGTTCAAAGTGTTCCACCAAACATCCTAGCCGCATGCCCTTAGAGATTACCAGGGACCCATCTTACCAGTGTCCTTAATCTGCCTAAATTGTTGAGTTTTACCCAGTACTGACAACCTTTCCAATCGTTTCTGCTTTCACCATCCATCCCTTTTTGCGATTATTGAGAAGATTCTTTAAAGTTTCTTTCTCTCTTCACTGTGGTCTTCTAACACCAATCAGTTTGTATAAGGTTGCGGGAACCCACTGGTTTTTGCCAACCTTTGAGTGCAGGGGACCAACTGTCTGACATTGTTTTTACAGCAGACTCTATATATTACGCCAGGCTTCATGACAAGGAAAGTAGCTGTTACGTTCAGGTAAATTGTAAGCTGTCATTTCCGTGAATGTTCACGTGACATTTTCATCTAGTCAAGCACATAGAGGCTTCACTACTTTTTCCCGCACCCATTAAGGTGGGAACGTACACATGTGAGTACTAACGCATGATTGGAATCCCAAAAGGTACTTCAAAAAGAGCAGCAGTCTTCCACTGATTTTTTCCAACAATAGCTTTTAGCAGTATGATTTATGTGTTCACAGTTGGTTGAATATCAGCGGACGTCAAGTGAAGCACTGTTTCTCCTTATTCTTGGAGTTAATGGCGACCATAAACAAGTAATCGTCAGAGTAAAATTATAAGAGACAACCATCATTGTCTGTCCGCTTGTATGAAATATTGTAGATGCATCCAAGATGCCTTAGTGATTCGCTCAGCTTCCCTAGTTGTGCCTTGAAGTCGCCTGCTAGTATGATTGTACTTGAACATTTCGGCTTATTTAGCGAAATTGACAGCTTTAGTTAGAATTCATCCCTTGTATCATACGATCTATAGTTAGTGAGCACATAGATGGAGATTACGAATGAGCATCAATGAGTGTCAATATCCCTCCCAGTTTTTACAGGTCTATTAAGTTGGATAGGGCATGGGTAGCTATTAGCTGGGATCCAGTCGAGAAGTGCACTTTATACTCTACGATTCAATATATCTATACCAGCCCATCTATGGAAGCTATTTATTGAATCTCCGAACACTCTTAAGGTGAATTTTGCAGACTCATTACGCTGAATAACCATTCTTGGGTGCTGTATTCATGTCTCAGAAACACAGCATACATCCTTAGCCGGAGATCCCAGAGTTTCGACAAGAGACGTTTTCTAATCCCTCTTCCTACAGACACGGCTACATCAGTAGGCACTGCTAGCCATCCATGAGAAAAACCTTGCTGCTGTAACATTTCGTCTAACCAGCAGTATGACTTAGCCCTTGGATCTTCATCATAGCATAGCTATTCCCACTATAATGGTAACCTTTTGTTTTTGTTTTACCACTATCAACCGTACCTGGTATGTTTGGATCTCAAGGAACAAATCTTTGCACCAGCGTAGCTAGTCGGGTCATTGTGATATGCGAACCAAACCATCACGTCAAGATAAAAGCTATCGGTCGAAATAAATAAAGGCTGACTTCTTGCTAACTTGTTTCCTCCACATTATTGTATTCCATTGTACCATACTTTTTAATTAATTAAATGAAAACAACAAATGGAAAAATAAAAAGAGGACCAGTCAAAATATATCCTGCAGCTAGGTTATTCCGCATGTTTCAAACAGATGTTCCACTGGTACGGTCAAAAATCAGTTGGTATTCAGTTGCGATTAAGAATTCACGTGTATCTGCCAGAACGAATCCCTCAGAGTGATACAAATGGAGGACCTGTCTCAAATTTTACTGAGCATGTTCCAGAACTCCTACAACTAAGGGGACCCAGAACTCTCATCAGTATGATTGTTAGACACCTAATAAGTGCAGGTATTTAGATAGATACCTTGAAATCTTTTTAAAAAAAATTGAACAAACAGAATACTGAGATTTTTTCATTTTGCGATAGGGATCAGTAGTTGAGGACTGTATATGAAATGACATTGGTACGGATGTATTCACTCCTTGACGTCTTCTAAAGTCTTCATATTTACACTAACCTTTATCTTCAAATTTTCTATTCTCTCAGACAATTTTGTCTACTTTGATATCACTCTTATTCTATCCACTTGTTCTCTGTATACTACTATGAAGTGTGGCGACTTGAACAAATGCACTCGTATGGGACGTTCTGCGTTGATTTTGTCTGTTATTGTGTTTCGCTGAAGCTGTTTCACTCAAAAGATAAATCAGAGTTTTACTTCTAAAACGAAGCTGTGATTAACCTTACAGTACACTGAGGACTCGTACTAACTCTTCTCATATTTGGTTACTCCTCTCTCTTATTACATTTGTTATTTGACTTTTTAAATTCACTCTAAACTCTGATTTTATTGCACTAAGCTCAATTGAACCTGCTGTGTACACTTTTTTCTGGATTATTATTGGCTTTTCTATTCACTAAACTTACGTAATCTCTGACTTAATTTTTACTTTGTTCTTGTTACCAACCGCTTTAATTTTCACTTGACGAACATGTCCTACTTAGCATACCTTATCGTATTCACTTCTGTTGGTTTACTTCCAATCTTATTATCTGGAAAAGATCTAAAATCTACTCTACAACCTTGTGCAAATTCGTGTAGTAGACAATAAGCAGCACCTAATGTATGAGGCTCAATAATACTGCGTGGCTGCTCAAACCTCAGTAGGTAGGAGTGGTTGTTCGAATCCGTAACTTATTGGTTAAAAGTCATCTGCCTAGACTAATGAGCCATAACTTTGGTTGACCTCTTATTATTCCTTTGTTTGTTGAACTTACCCATTGACTGACTTCTTATTGAACTTAAGTATATTATATTTCTCCTGTAATCCCATATTACTTTATACGTTGTAACCATTTGAAAATGTAAAGTGGTATCAGTTTATTCTGCTCGATTTCTTATTTTGGTTCAGCTCAGGTTTATAAAATTTCTTCCTTGGATTAGCGATTAGTATTGAACATCTTCACTTGATTGTTAGATTATCAGTGTTGTTGGGGGAGTTGATGATCAAGGCTAAAAAACGGAAATGAATGGAAAATTCGAAGAAGATACCTACTCTTTCCAGACAGTGTCAAACAAATCAAGATGACTACGATTCTTAAAGTAGTAGCACATACTAGAAATATTTAGAAAAATGAAACATTACTCAAATTTTTTAGCCAACTTCACTGAACAAGTTGAAACATTTTTCATAAGATTATATAGTACTTTACAAAGATGGCATTCAGTTGTGAACCATATCTTTCGACAAATTGTATGCTGTTGGAGATAATGTTCTACTTGGTGCTGAACATAGATATCACTGATCTTAAGAAATTTTTGCCTATTAATCACTTGAACAATGGAAACATCAGTAACGGACTGGATTCGTCTGCGGAAAGTTGATCTGTATCTTCATTAAACTGCATTAAGGTTATAAAGTTTCTAGCGGTAACCTCAACATTGATTCCATTCGTGTTTCTTTTATTAGCGAATAAAGACTAGGCTGTAAATCACCAGGAAACCAACCAGATAACGTCTTTCCCTCTCTTTGCTATGAGAATTCTGGAGACTTTTTAGAACTAGATTTGAGATAACTATTAAGGATTATAATAGTAATCCTTTTCCTCCCATAATATTGTGCCGTGTTTTGGGTGAAAAAGACGACGTTTAGAAGTTATATCCTGCTTGGCTAACAAAGGATTTTATTCTGCACATAACAGAACCAGCATCAAATGATGACTGTAATTTACACAGTATGAATAAACATCTACATTAACTATGACTTAATAAACCAAGATTAACAAATTCACAGAGGCAATTTATACTGTGCAGTAGTATGGTTACAAAGGTTAGCAGGTTACCAGGTAATCAGAATAATACTGTAGCCTTTATTACTACTAATAGCGTTTTGCTGATCAAATGGCACGGATTTTGAGTATTGAAGAAACATGACATCAGCTTTCACAGTTTATCTGTAATACCAAGCAGGCTGCTCCTGAGATCCAGACACTTGACTCTCACTACTGTTCCTCCAGAATTTAATGTATTACTCTATCTTTCATTCATAATTTTGATCCCTCAATGGGTTGGTGACAATCTAAATAGCATCGCTGTATCACCGCTGGCTGAAAATTCTAAATTTAGAACATAAAGTTTCCCCACCATTAGTTTGTAGTGTTGCTTACAAATTTTTACAATGTTGTTGTAATCCAAAACTTAAATCTGAACGTATCATTTCATTACTACACAGTGGTTTCATATCTTGACAGAATAGTGACTTCAGCAGTAATTCTTTTCTGGTTTCCGGATTTCTGGAGCTTTACTCAGAAGTTTCTGGTGTATTCCAAGTTCCAGTTTGCTAAAGTAGAAAATCAATAACCACATAGAATATTGGGTTCAGTGCTCAGAGCTGGATAAAGAGTAAATGTAGACGTAATACTGTTATATTTTTGAAATTTTCTACTTAATTGGGTCATCCAAGTATCCGCAGTATCTCATGTAGCATGATTATGAAGTTTAAAGGTCTGTACACATCTGAATCGTTAATCACTAACCACATGGCTTACTGATGTGATTTATGCAGACTACTTTTACTTGTATCCGTTTTTAACTAAGTCTTCATTCTTGGGTTCTTGACGAATAGATGTACACATTTCACCATCCTTGAAGATATCACCACCTTGTCTCTAAGCAACCAATTTACAATCTTCCAAGGTTTCAGGCAGCCGTGTAATATCCCTCGCTCTCTCATAAGCGTTCTGGTTCATAACTAGGTGCACAAACGCCTATATATTTTACGGAAAACTATTTTTATGTTTTATTTGACATGAACCATTGAAATGCATCTTCAAACTAATATTAACTGTTTTCCCCTACCCAGAACCGTGTTTTAGTTTTTCTTTCATATTTACATGATTAGCGCGTAGCTGACATTTAAAACGTATAGGAGAACAGTCGTTCCTCTTGAAATGGTTATACAGCCATTCGTTAGTAAACATCGTCGTAGGGATAAATTTCATAAAGTTCTGTTAAGAAACCGTGATCTGTAAGATGGTTAGATGGTTGATCTTGTATCACAAATTGAGTCGAATTACCAAGTATTCCATTCTACCTAATAAATAGTTTGGTGATCATATACTTACTATCAGACATGAAGCCTTTGACTTCCACACCCTGTAAAATAGAGATTGTATGCTCCAAAAGTATCAAATACGAATGAAAGAACTATCCACTACTACTCCTCTTATCTCTGGTTTGCATTATTAAACCGTCTTATTTTTCTCTCTTCAGTTCTAGTTAATTTTTCGTGCCACCGTGAAATTTATAACTGTACCTTTGTATTACGACCTGTCATACGTAAAAGCAACGCATATATTTTAAATTCCCAAATAAACTAAAATCCAATTTTTTTTCAATAGGTCGCCACCCAGTTGATCATGGAGTTGTTCTTCCCACATCATTTAATCACCATACAACTACCGATGGTGAACCTATTCGTTTGCAGGCCGAAGGTCTTTGGGAAACAGGAGCAAAACAAGTAAGGTTCTTTTTATGTTGTAAGTATACTCATTTAATCTGACCACTCTTATGGGGTTTTCCAGTGTCTGTAGGATTTTATGCACACCTTATGGTTAGTAGGTTTCCTCTACTCTACAGATGCATGCTTGTGGATTGTGTAAACACCAGTGTCGGTTAACTTTCTGTGGCTTTAAACATGACTAACAAAGGAGTTGGAACAACCTGATTCTAGTGAGCTATCAAGCATGTGTGATAATAAAGTCAATCAACAGTTATTATCGGTACACGAATGTGAGTCCAAAAATGGCAGGAGACTGAAATTTGAAATGGCTTGAATCTGATTTCACGTGGGTTATATATTAGTGTTCTATAGTTGTGCGGTTGTGTAGGATACAAAAAGCTACATATATCTCTTGTCTAAATAAAATAAGTTGAAATTGATGAACCATTTTCGATTATTTTAGTAGACAATATAGATACAAATATAAAGTACATAAACGATATGAGTAATATTTAAAGGGGGTACATTAATTTTACAGATTTTTTTTTTGGTCGAAAGAACCATGCATACACTAATCAATCCTGCTTCGGAATGATTATACATCATATTCAGACTATAAATGAATGTTTGAAATAAGTATAGACGATCATTTACTTTGATTCGAGCAAATCAAACTGCAAAATACCATTTTCGTTTCGTTTCACTTGAGAAATCTACTGGAAACTACTATTTCACTCCTAATCTGGATACTTTCTCAATTTATCATCTTTACGTTCTATATTTAGTCTTTCTATATTTTCTGCAATTTTGTGGCCTAGAGAAAACTTAGTTGAAACTGGTCAAAAAACTAAAGAAAGCATAAAACAGCAGTAAAAAGCTTCATCGTTCTGGTTTAGGACTGGTAAGTATTCAGTAATTTCCACGTCGAATGACATTGAATTCGAGAGTTTACTATAATTCTGATGGAGGAAGTATCAGTGTACGTTTACATTATATTACGAATCAATGACAGTTTAGAAATGCCGTTTACTACATCTAGATTCAGTATTGTCAACCCATCCACCACATTATTCAAAACACTGACTTTGATTTCTTCGGACACTGAAGATTTTTATCGATGAAGATTAGGTATGACTTGCTGATTTAAACGCAGTGATACAATCAGTCGTTTACAATTTCGAATCCTGCTGCAGTTACCATAGTCTTAACAACTAAGTTGTATCATTTACCCGCATACAATAATTGTGGCTTATAGATTGCTATCTACATGTGTGTGGTTGCTGAGTTGTACTGTTAAAATAACAGACTACAAAGACAGTTGCTCAGTGTTCTGCATTCTTCATTGATTGATCCCATTTCATCAAATTAATTAATTTCTTATATACCAACCGATTTTTCAAACCTGAATAAAAATGTATAAGGGTTTTTATATGATACCGTCGCATCACTCACTGGGAAGCAGGTACATCCAGCTGACGAGTCCCAAATAGGACGAAATGCGCATCCTGGATTCCACTGCTAGCCACGATCCAACCTGAATAAAAATGGATTCGCCAGAAACATTTCGTCGAAAAACAGAGATATGTAGCTCATAGTTAGGACTACAGTTCATCAGTGTTATCTGATTTCACAACAAACACTTTATCATAAGACTACATCGTATCATCAACATCTTGTAAGGAAGGAAGTAAATGTAGGAATCATATGGCCTAGGTGATCAAAAATTGAATTTCAAGGAATACGGAACTGGTGTCACAAATTTTGTTGCTCACATCTTTGTATGCATGTAATTCCTTGTAAAAATACATTTATTACTATTTAGATGGACTATATCTATTGCAGTATCTCACAACAATGTTGCATTGTGCATTATGCCGCTATACCGAAAGCAGTAAATAAAGGTGAAGATGGACAGAGTCTTACACTGTATATTTGTCACATCTATGCTGTAAACTGCCTCAAAGATGGTGTTACATTCATATGTTATTGAACACTGAACGCAAACCTTTTAACTGACGTATGCTTTCGAATCGTAAGCTTTCTGATCTAACTGACTATCCAGTTTAACTATCATTGATTTACCTTCTATGTCATAGTCAGTCATTATCAGTGTAGGAGTTGGCATTACTGCGCAACAATCCAAGTTGTCACACCTTACACCAGTACATCAATACATAGGGCAGCAAAATGACACACACAGAAATCAAAATAACATAGTAAAGGCCATCGAAATTCATACGATGGAAAGAAGAGAAATTACATCAGGCAAAGATGGATATAGTGTGTGGATTCATTTTGCAAAACTAAGATTGATTGTGATCCATGCCACCTAAGGTCTCCAAACATCCATTTCGATTGTCATCTAGACTTCAATTTGAGTATCTGATTTCCCTTACACGATTCAAACTAACGGCAAGGGATTTCATGGACCAATAACACACTCTGTTGTAGACAGCCGTATTTTCTTTCTAATTTAACCATATTTCAGATAATATAGCTGGCTGAGATAGAGATGACTAGACATTCATAAAGCACATACCCGACTATCTCAGTTGATCAGCGTTTTTAGCCTAACAGGATTCCTTTATCTAGTACTTCGTAGCTTAGTGGTTAGATCTAAATAGTCGAATCACAGCTATTGGTCGTGAATATATGGTTAACAGATTTTCCTGAATCTAAACATTCGTCTCTTGTACTAATCCTAGAAGTGATAAGTGTATTCTATCACATAAAGTAATCCAACCCATGCATGGTTATTGAATTGTCTTTATTTTTGTCACTGTTTTTAATGCTGACTGTTTTGTGTTGACATAGAATAAAGGTGTGCATCTGTATCATTTACCTACGTGTTCTGGTGATTTAAATGCTGGCGGTGATAACAGTTGGTTTTGTGAACCCTATAATCCGAATCTTATGAATCCTGTCGATTTGAATTTCACAATACAAAGAGCTGTGAGTGGACTACGAAACGGAAGTGCAAATTTAGCAGGTATATAAATATATTTTACTTAACATTTTTGATTCATTTCATTCTTATTTATTGAATAAGTCTCATCAAAAGTTTCCGATTACCTTTTACAAATTTCATTGCATAATGATCAACTAAGTATTATGATAACGTATGTTTTGTCTTCATGCCTTTGTTTATTAAATATGGTGTAGAATACATATTTTTATTTGATAAAAATTATTTCTGAACTAGGGACTGCTTCGGAGCTAATTATATCTCAACAAAATACAACCCACCTTTGTTGATGCTGTCTTAAAGGATGAATGAGTTAGGTTAACCAGTCAAAAGTTGTAGACGCCAAACAAATGTAGACTAAACGAATCAAGACTGCGAAGGAAAACAACAAAAACATGCAGTTTGGTTAAGATGTGCAGTCTGTTGTGAACTGCAAAAATATTCTTGAGAAAATCTTTATAGTTACTCTTTGTGAACTCATACTGATCAAAGTTTTTGGCATTTATTCAAAATGTTATGGGACTGTGACTTATTGGTTTAGGCAGTTGACTTCCAACCAGTGGACCACAGAGTCGAACCCAGTTTTGTCCTCCAAGGTTTGAGCAACTAGCTCTCAAAGTAGTCATGACTCATTGCCTACTATTGGGCAAGCATGCAAAAGGTTGTTAAGTGCATTTCGACTTATTGTCTTTTTTATGTAAACGGGTTCTGATTGCATAGATAACTGCGTTAGGAAGGGTGAAACATTACCTATGTATTGAAAAATTGTGCGTTAAATCTTTTAGAATATCTCAGTCAAATGCGTTTACATAATTATATCTTTTTGTCATCGCAAATCTATTTTGCATTTTTACACTGATTTGTCAGAATTCGTTGCTTAATGACTCCGTTACCGTGTGCGTGACTGTTTATTACATCATTATGTTTCTACTCACTTTGGACTTGGGGAGACGTACTGTTCTAGTGTAGTAAGTTGATAATCACTAAGTACATTAGTATGCAACTCAACAACCATGTACAGGGTTCTCACTAGGCAATAAATCACATTTATTCTGTGAGGGCTAGTGACATTGCTTGGCTTCCCAAATTTCGGTATGTAGGCCAGGCTCTGTACACGTAACACATAAAACTGGATTGATATTGTCTAGAATGACACTGAAATCTTCACGATTAAACCAACCAGCTTAGTGGATACAAGACCAAAAACAGCAAAACACATATAAGTAATCTTTTATCATTACTGCCACTAATAATGACACTGGTAATAATCATTTCGTCTTCTTGTCAATTTCTTTAGCCACCGATTAAGAATAGGGATACCGTACTACTTTTGGTCAGTCTAGTAATTTCCGTAGATCTTTGTCAATTATTAGAGGCTGATAAGGATTGGGATAGTTTTCCTTGCAAATTTATCTTACCTTCTGTCTACACTTTTGTTCGTTCATACTAAATGTAAATGTTTTGTGAACTGGCATACTTCAGAGTTGGAAAGTGTGTGCTAAACAGTTGTTGGATAATATGTTAATCAAGAAGACATTTACAGTGTACAGTACTTGGTTAACTAAAGAAAAATAGCACTTTATACAATAACTCGCCCAGTTATAGTGTAATACGGTGACCTCAAACTAGTGGGACAAACTTTGGAAGTGAAAAACTGTAAGGTGCACTTAAGGAAGGTAAGTAAGAATGAAATGATGAATGCACAGGTTTTTCAAAGCAAGAGTAAAGAATTCGTGTATTGTTGGGGTATCCAATCTGCTGTTACCTACCGGCTTTGTATATTTAAGCGATGGTTGTTTATAGTTGAGTGACAACCACCACCTCGACTCAGTAAATAGTTGCTATAGTCGTGCCCCTAGAACTCCTAGACTGATGTTTTGTTATTTTTTAGAAGTCATTCTTAGTTAATCTGATCTGGTAGCGTCCAAGGAGAAGAATGAAGAATGCTGACATTCGTAATTCAAAAGGCCCTAAAACATATGCTTAACTTTTGTATGAAGTTAGGGGATTTCCATCTTTTAGGGTTGGTGATTTCCAACCTCTCTTTCCCAGAATAGATGGAACTCTTTCTTGAAAACGTTAGTCTCTCGTATCAAACTCGATACTTACTTCACTTTGGTTAAACTAGCTACACTATTCTCTTAGCTTTCGATCACTATTTCTCATGATTGTCTTAGTTTCTCCTCTTTACACTATACCTTTATGGCATTGTGCGGGAATCGAATGGCAAGGTTTCATCCAGTGCTGTTTCCCTAACCCTAACAAAATAGAGAATGTCTAAGAAGAAGCGACCGAGTAAATCATAATAGATACGCGAACGATAATAACACAATGAAACGCTTGACATTTATACGACTAGCAACTATTCTCCTTCGGAACCTTATATTTCACTGAGCCGCAAAAATCAAAACACGAAATCCGGCCTATGACTGTAAGGAAGATACTTTATTCGACAAAAATGCATCATTTATAAACAATTTTCAGGAGCTAATGAAATCACTAAGTTTGAAGTTAAGTGACTTATATTGGTTGGTCAACTGTAGGATAAATTGTCCAGTAAGGTTTTTTCTGACCACGCAGTGACATGAAGCAAAAATTGGAATCCAGAACTTCTACCTTGGCGGCTGATGACTTGAAATGTTGATTTCCGCTTCTTGTCACTTTGTCACAATCCTGCAAGTTACTAGTCATAGAATATTGTGCAATGTATAAGCACAGAGTGATATTGTGGATAATTTTTTCAGCTCTTTTTTATTCTGCTCTTTTTATACAATTATGAATCAGACTCATTTTGTGTACCTTTTCTATTTCGTATGTGTGAAAGTTCCTAAATTAGTAATGCTCTGAATGGTAAGTGTGTGTGTGTGTGTGTGTGTGTGTTCACGTAACAAGCTTTTTTTTCTAACATTGGGAATTGATACTACTAAAACTAACTAATTTGTACGTTAAGTGTTTGGTTTCCTTTTCTCTTGTGTCTATTCACCTGACCGGTATTTTAATTTTGTTTTAATTTTTGTTGAATAAGGCTTTCGCGAATGAAATATGTTATCACCATTTTATAAAAGCGTATACAACTCAACAACTACATAAAGGCTGTTGTAATAGACAGCCATCTACACTTGTTTAGACCATTTATAGTATACGGTTGCTAATGTTTCAGTAGATTCAGTGTATGCGTCTGTCGAACTCATAACCTGTTGATTATAAAAGTGGAGTACAATAAGAAATCAGTGATCATGTCTACTTATACTACTATTTCATATCTACCTGTGTTTATTAGTTAAAAGTGCATATTTACGAAAAAGATCAAAAGTCTAAAAGTTAGTTGTCAGCCAAGTCTTGATAAAGTAATAAGTCAAGCCTGAATTATCTATACAAAGAAAGATAATTCTTTTATTCATTGGTTTTCAGGTATTCGAATACTATGTCTGGTTTTCATTTTTGTCTATGTGGTAGATAAGTAAGGAAATTCTTCAGTAATATCATTTTATTCCTTGTTATATAAGGTTATATCATTCATCTACACAGTCGTGAGTATTGTTGTGGTTCAACTAATGGGATTGTACATCAGGTGATCAACGACAAAAGCACAAGCGTTAAGGCATCATTCTAAGTAATTAGATTTAACTTATTATCTACGTTTGTAGCTACATTATGAACGTGTGGTAAATAAGTTTTTACAACATAGACGTTTAAACAAGGAGATAATGGCATGAACGAAAAGATCTGGAGTGACGAGGGGATTATTTATTATTCAGTACAACATGCGTACTGCAAGATGCACCATACAAATTATAAAGCAACGTTTAGAAGGCACAGAAAATGGGAGAGAGAATGAAAATAAAACAAAAATGTGTCATTGAGGAAGCAGTTTTAAAAATACATTCAAAAAAGCATTCACTACTTTATTTTTAATTTTTTAGTAACAGAAGAAACAAGAAAACTGCAACATGATAAATACTGGTTTCCATTCTGAACCGTGTTTTGTGTCTTCTCAAGTCATAGAGTTACTTGACCTCTGGACCCCATCCAGGGAGTTATGAGGTGCCTATGTATGCTAACCCGATACCTTTATCTTTTATCCCTGAGCACCACGCCCTATACTGCCCATCTCTTCACTTCTTCTAACCATTCCCAGGCCCACCAAACAGTGAGTGGTGTAGGGGCTGCTGAGACGACTCACATGTCACATGTTTGAGCCAGCGAAGATAGTATTTCGAGACGGCCAGACTCAGTGGATAGTGATCTTTATCTCACCCAAATACACGCTGCCTCATCTCAGAATTACTTATGGTGTTTCGAGAAATCCTGCAGAGACAATGGGTAGTCGAAAACCCAAACTCGTCGAACATCCTGAACTTGGAAAGGCCAGGTTTCAAAGGCGTTAAATAGAAATTCTTGCACTTGTCGGTTATGTATCGGACCTTCTGCAGCAATGTTAACGTCCTGACGGCATCAAACGTGGCTCAGATTGGCTTTTTCCGCTCTGGCTTTTGATAAACCATTAGAAACCTGATTAGTCACAATCTCACCAGCACACACAACATCCTGGATACAAAACATTTCGACAACCTCCAGCGATTTACCACGAAAATTGGGTGTGGATAGATCTTCCTATCAGTTTTGTATAAGCGCTATGCACTTTTGATGTTGTACAGCACATAACTTTTCCTCGGACACCAAGTGCCAACTGATTGAGTGGGATTTGAGTAATCTTTATGTCGTCGCACACCGAAACGGTACTGGTCACACACTTGTGATCGAAAAGTCTTACACTTGGTAACAGCTTTATACCATCATTCCCATCACTACCACCACCAATACTGTTTCCCTTAACTTCGGAGCTTTCTCTAGAATGTCATCGCTGAGAAAGTTGGAAGAATAGTGAAATTGGGCAAACCTACCTAACACCGCTGTTGGTTTGGAACAACAGAGATAAGCCTTCATTCTACCTGAGGTGTCGAAGTATAGTATTTTCGAAATGTTGACAAACATCTTGGGAACGCCACTCTCTAACAAAAAATTCCAGAGTATATTAGTGTCCAATGAATCGAACGCAGGCCTTATACTGGAAGGATACAACAATTGCTGACGTGCAATGCATGCGAAGATGTTTAAGCATCTGACGAAAAGTCAACATGTCATCAGTGCACCCATCACATGAATGAAACCCAATCTAATCTTCATTGATCAGATTCTGACATCTTTTGTATAGTCTGTGAAGTGTGGCAGCAGGCAACACTTATGACGCTAGGAGTAGCAGATTGATATCTCGATGATTATCACATGCACTATGTAGACGCTTTTCAGGGACAGACTTCATTCTAGAATAATGCAGCACTTACAAACTGTCGCATCTTCCCAAGCAATATAATCAGACTCCTGACCGGAGTCTCACCTCTATCCTCAAAAGCAGCCGGGAATAGGTTGTTTTGACACGGGTGACTTATGCTGTTTTAGTGCTTAGAGTACTTTATGGACCTCCGTTTCCCTAGATGATTCAATATTAACTAACCATAGAGCACAAGACGTTGAGGTCGATGTTGCTGAAACAGTTGGTCAGCTAAACTGCTTTTCGACGTGCTCTGCCCAATGTTTCAAACGTCTATAAAAGTTGGGGATTAGCGTCCCATCTAATTCTCAGAATGTCCTATTGACACTAGGGTTCGTACTGTCAGCTGTTCGAATGATTTGAAACAGCCTCTGACTGTTGCCAGTTGCAGCAGCTGTTTCCATTCCACTGACACGTCCTGACCACCAGACCTAATGTTCGTCAAGCCAAAACAGTTTAATGTCCTTCGATAGGGACTTTTACACTTCATTGTACTCACTGCGTGACGGGATACACAGACGATCTTCAAGAAGTTGCGAGAGGTTTACAGGGACCCCTTGTTCAGTGGTGGCACGTTTTTCGAAGTCATAAGCACCTTTACCAGCCATATTCATGGTGTCTGGTAAGAGCATGCGATCCCCATCTGCATTTTCTAACGGTTTGACAGCTTACTGTAAATCTAGCTTGGTTTGGTATTCATTCACAATAACAGGTGCAACACATGCACTTACGTTCACGCGTTCAAGAAGATGATTTTGATTACCACCAAAACACACGATGAACTGAATACATTCTAAAACGTGGTCCGTCTAGACAGGCGCTCTAAAAGGAGTGGCATCCTGAATGGACCCATGCCGTCGGCTGTTGGTTACGATACAGCAAAAGTCCCTCAGTTAATAGTAGGACTCATCCTTGACTACATTTATGCTGAAATCAGTTGGTGCATGGGCGCAGACAGTGAATAAACGTCGTTTCTTTTACCACTTGCTTCTCACACCAAGTGAACCCCCTTAGTCCAGCAGTAGATAAACGACCGTTCTAGGCGACCCAGTCGACTAGTGCAACTTCGGCTGTGACGCTTAATGCGACACCAATATCAGCAAGACTGGCTGCTGTTGTCTGAGAGTCCTCGGATAAGCGCAATATTAAAACATTGATTAGTCACTGGAGAGCAACCGATTCCATGTTCTCCGGTTTCAGTTGCTGATCGAATTGTGTGGGTCATTTTGTAATGTATGTACCGGGCTAGCAGATTCAGTATCACAGTGCACTTTGACTGATTTCAGGTGGTTGGAGGCGATTGGCTGAAAGCCCTGGACCTTGGTTTGTGCTTGTTAGCAATCTTCCGCATAGCATATCTGAAACCCCGAGGAAACTGATGCCCCCCGAGGGATTCGAACCCGCGCTTTTCTGTGCTACAGTTAGAGACGTTGCCACTGAGCTATTCAGATCTCACTGTGAATACACTGACGGATATAAGATTCATTCAAGGCATTTCACTGTGATCTTATATGTGTGGATGTCTGAGGTAAAGTAAACATCAATAGCTTGGCTTTTCAGAATCCTGGCCAAACCTGTCTGTTGTGTGATCTTCAAGTTCTGGGAGTTAAAGATGCCTAGCTTAAGTTGTGTGCTTGGTTTTAGGATAGTTTTCATAAGATATACTGACGGACAGCTTTATGAAAGCATCTACTTGGCAATTCAAAACGACGTAGAGCGACTAGTGACTAGCAGTTGAATGAAACAAAGATGGTTTAAGGATAAATTTGAAAATGACAGTATAAAGACAAATGAGATGGTCAAATATGAATTTCGTTACTCCATGAATTTCGGTTTATGCAGAAAGATTTGATGAGCACTTTGTCTTAATTATCAAACTGATTCAAAATCCATGAACTGTAATACTGCTTGGATGTCTAGACCGAAGCAGGCAGTCATTCTAATAGACCGATCCCCGGTGCACAGGACGGTGGAACAACGTGTGGCACTGCAATCAGGTGGTTGCCGGTGATCATGTTAGGTTCGTACGCCGTTCTTCTGTTTTGGATTGTGGGGTTCATGTTCACTACTGGCTTGGAATCATCTTTTTCCAATTCCCTTAGAGGTACTCTCCACGTGCACTTATGTAGTGATAACACAGAAAATTCGCCTTCACCCTCTCACTTCTGTCGAACTTGCGTCTGCCACGTGGAGACAGTGAGTGAGACTTCTGTGGCAGAGACCATGAATGCGAACCATCTGGGGATAATCACGATAGTTCTACTCCTGTTCAAGCCTAACGGTTTTGGGGAGGGGTTAACAACTAAGTAAGGAGGAAGACTTAAAGAGTTGAGAAATATAAAAGGTCTTACCTCCAGTTCATTGACATAGGTGTGGTTGCTGATTTGGAATTTTTAAGCAGCTATTAAATTCGTTTAAACAAAATCTTAGTGAGGAATGAATATGTTATACAGGTAGTAGATTATTAACCACGGCAAAGCATAAAGAGAAAGTCAAATACTTACAGCCTACAAGGGTTTAACTTGGTATCACTTAACGATTTGTTTTATATTCATTACAAACGATATTTTCTAGCGAACAATGCCTACTTGATTGAAAGTGTTGTACACAATTTGAATAGTCTCTAGATTAAAGTTTAGATAATGAATTCATGAAAAAATGATCAGGTATAAGACGGCGTTTTTTAAGCCAAATATACAGATCGAATTACAACGTGGTAGCGATTAGTTAATATTACCAAAAAAAAAAGTTTTTGATCTGGCATGAACAGTTTTGAACAATATCATTGACATTGTGTTTAGCTGCGTTTTATCACAGTAAAGGAGGAGGATTGCGCCAATTCTAGCGTTTCGGTTTCATTTACAGTGGTTTAAGCAGTAATTAAACCAAAGTTGGATCCGATTTACTAGATAACCTAGTATCCTGATGGCTGCGAAGCGGAGGAAAAAATATTGACGTGATTCGTTGAATGATAATTGTGTAGCAAATATTGACTTTTCATGTGTAACTCACATTTAAACCACCCTAATTGACTGAGGTTTACAACCTCACATTTTTGATGGTACCATTCATCCACGCCTTTCTCACGCGGCACTGTTTAACAGGACTGTCTTATCAAAATAAGCATTAAATAGGTGGAGTATTTCGCGTGTTTGTTTAATCTAGTTTCTTTGCTTTATTTTAATGTAACCGTTTGTTGGCTCAGCTGCTATCTATGTGTTATACAGTTTACTATCCCGTCTAGAATGCACTGTTGTGAAATAAGTGTTACATAAGTATGTATATGGTTTGCTCTTTCTGATTTCAGTGGTATATTACGATGAATTAGATCGAATTGGACACAGATATGGTCCATTATCTAATGAATTGGTTCATAAACACTGGGTGTACTTGGATCATGTGATGGATCATGCATTGAATATCGTCGAGTCTATTCCAAATTTGAATTTAATTGTAACTTCCGACCATGGTATGGCACCAGTTTCACGTAAAGCCTATGTTGATCGTCTTTTCAAAGGGTAAGATAAATTTACTCTTAAAGTTGTACTATTTCGTATACATAGTTACTTAATCATGGTTTTATTATTCGTCAGGTATGCATGAATAACTTTAGTTTTAGTACACTGTTTATAACATTGTAAAGATGTTGGGGTTTCCGCCTTCATGATAATTCCATATTAATGTTATTTACATCACATACCTATATCTGTTGGATAAGTTACGCAGTACCAAGAGACTTTTGTTGTATTGAGGAACTCTGCCCTCATGATCCTAACCTTGAAGTTGGACATACAGAAATAATGTATATTATAACCATCAGTGCCTCCATCGATAAATGTTCCACTTCAACTTGGAATAGCTATCACTGCACCGCTTACTACTGTGTGTTTAAAATTGAGTTTTAGATTTCATGTTTACAACTGTGAAGTTTTCACTACAATATATTATCACTCGAATATTCATTAAAACTGAGGTTTGTTTATTGAAAAATATTTTCATTATTTTACCAATAATACATCCTGAAAAGTTGTTTTCGACTTACGTAAAACCATTGAGGTTTTTGGTATCACTGGGAAAAATCATTTTTAGTTGATTAGTTCCACTAAATGTTTTCTAAAAGCCTACTTTATCAGCGTTGAATTTTGAATGAAGTTATAATGTTGATTAACGAGCCTACTGCATTGCTTGATTCTACGTGCTAGTGACCCCACTGAAAATGTTAAGCACCTCAATCATTAAAGGTTTGTCATCAATCTCTGTATTATTAATAGTGATAGATCTGGACAATAAAAACTAGGAGCTCTGACAACTTGAAGTAAATATTTCTGTTCTTCACTCAAACCTTGAACAAATAAAAGGCCGTAATACAATTAAAGGCCTTACTTTGACACTGATTAGCTCAATTTCTATTCATGTTTAAAGACCAAAGCGGGTCTCAGGTATATTCCAGAGTTATTTGTATTTTTAACGGTCACTCAGGTAAATCGCTCAATCTGTTTAGGAAAGGAAAGAAGTAAAGTCCACTAAGTATATCTTTCAGTTTACTGTTTCTTCAATGACTGAATAACAAAGTGTAAGCTTCTCAAACAGTTATTAATGTTAGGATTAATGTATCATGTGCAATGAACGTCTCGAACATGGACGTATTGCATTTACGCGAAATCAGTTGTCATGGGAAATTGTTGTTACCCTTGTATGCGTTTATTAACACTTACCTATCAAATCTTATTCTTTCAGTGATGCATTATACAACTTTATCATTGTTCTTTCTTACTAATATTTCGATTTTAAAAATGCTTTCAACCATATGGTCTATATCACAGTTTTGCCAAGATAGTATAAGTTGAAAGAACTTGAACAGAATTTCTTTGCTTATGCGTTCCATAATAATAATAATAATAATAATAATAATAATAATAATAATAATAATAATAATAAGCACTTTATTCCTGATAACATGTTTAGTGGAGTATGGAATTCTCAACACATAATATTTCAACAGATTCACTCCCAGTACAATATTTTTAAATGAAACAATGATTATATCTTAAAGATGTTACTAGCAACAGTATTAAAGGCAACAAATTTAAACTGTCAGTCGGCGTTATCTTTGCGTCTGATCTGGAATGGGGATTGAACAAAAGAGCAAGATTAGGTTTGACTGTGGTGGTAGTTCATTCAGCCAGTACAGAAATTCGGCCATTCGAGCTAAGTATCCTAGGCATAGTATTATTTCATACTTTTATGCATTTAAAAGTCTATTTCCATCTTGTGGGATGTTTTTTCTTCGTTTTATTGTTAACTTGAAAAATGTGCTATCGTACATGTGATATGTTAGGAAAACATATTGAGTAGATTAAAACAAATCAAAAGGGAATAATTAGATGAATGATATTCTGTAGAAGATTTTTGACTCGACTTTAAAGACAACCTTAGCAACAACTGAAATGACCAATTAGACTTTGATATTTCGTCTAGAAAAGTATTTTTCCATAAAATAAAGGAACGTAATTGACTGTCTCGTTAGTTGCTAGGGTGGCCTTTAAAGTCACCCGATTTTCGGTAACCCAAGGTTTAAGCTGGCCACGTGTATGCTGCACACACATTGATTATCTTATTATCTAAAACAAAATTTTATTCTCATTATTTTTGTTTACCTACTTGTTGTTCTTTCCTTATTTGTGTTTTGTTTGCTTTTTTAAAATGTTTTAAACTATATTTCCACTAAAAGGCTAACAAAAAAAAACAAGAAAGCGAATCAGATTCCTTACTATATTTTGACTTAACCTAGTTCGGTAAATAAGTGAAGTTGTTTCTATGATTACATATCATCGTTTAAAGTACATTTTTCACAACCACTTTGCTGACCTATTACTTACTGCCTCCTGCTCTTGTTTTGTTTTCTAAATCCATGTTATCACTCCATTATAAATCATCCTACTAAATGTTAATCGATGTATTACTGTATAAACTTCAGTGTTCACCGAATTCTATCGACAATATTTTACAATATTAATATCATTAACCCAAGTGATTCGATATAACGATACACTCTACATGGTTTTAGAGAATTCTAGGCATTTAATTCAATGTTTCCAGCTGATTGGCACTCGTCATGTTGAAAACGTGATTTCGATAGTTTTAAGGACTAGATCATATGACATTGCGTCCAATCCAGCGATCGGTTAGTGGATTCTTGGATGAAATCATTTCGATCGGAGTAGATACGATGTATGTATGAAGGTTGACATCAGTTGGAGAACCTTTGATGACTTGCGAGCACTGGATAGCTGTTTTGTCCTACTATGGGACTCCTCAGTAGTACACACCCACAACCCCTCCAGGTATCGAACTTAGAGTCTTCAGGTTTCAAGACGAGCATGTTAACCATTCAGCCACTGGGTTTTAGTTCGCCGATCCACAGTTTCCTATTTCGGTCAATTCTCGATACAGCACGATTATCCACCAAGTTTTCGGTTGTCATTCACTTCACTTCCAACTGGTTCGCCTCACAGATTACAGCTTCTCATTCAAACTTCGGGATGTCCTTCTCAAAGCATATCGCTAATGAACGCTATACAGTAATTTATTTTTACATTAATGAGGATTTTGTTTTAAAACTACTATTCATCTCGAAGTTTTAATGCGAGACTGTGACTTATGGAGTCAACCAGTCTGAAGTGGAGCAGATACCAACTAAAGACTTTGGATGATAGTTTCGCTGTATTACGAACTGATAGAAGTAGGAGACTGTGAACCATTGAACTCCGACCCAATGACTGAATGGTTAACGTGTTCGCTGCGAGACCTCAAGGTCCTGAGTTCGATCTCTGGCGGGTTGTGGGTACGTGTTACTGAGGCGTCCCATACTAGGACGGAGCAGCTGTTCAGTGCTCTCAGGTTCCCAGTGACTCTCCAACTGATGTCAGTCCGCAATGAGTACTACCTTGAAAATAAAATCCTCATTAACCTCAAATATCTATAGTGCAGAAGCAGTAAAGTGGTTTTAAATATTTATCTGGTTCCTTTTTCTCTTACTTCTGTTTTTCCAACATACATATAATAAATCTTATTTTCCCATATAAATGAATGATGTGTATACAAGGTAGCTAGGAAAACATCGATTTACCACTTGTATTTGTGCGTGTACTGTTAGGTATCATATTTTTTGAGTAGCATTCTGATACATTGAGTTGGTAACTAACTAGTTCTTTATTTTTTGATTCTTTCGAGAGACTAAGAGACTAGTTTCAAACTTTTCACCATTGTTGAGAATCTACCTCCTTTGGAGGTCAATCATACAAATCACAAACCTCATAGTAAACATGCTACGTTTCATCTATTCATTTAAAATAATGTTTCAAGTTTTCATTAAACTTGAATATGGATACTACTATTAGCACAAGTTGGGTGTTGTGAAGTGGTCACATTGCACTACATTTTAATTTAGTTAAATGCTCTTGATTATATGCCCTCTATCAAGTGTCTCGACACTTGAACTGACCATGAGGAAGGTATTTCCGTTCTAGAAGAGATCAACTAGGTCTCCTGTTGATACTCTAAACCAGAACTTATGCAAAATCACTAAGTGAAAAAAAACAACAGAAGGCTGTAATAAGTATCAAGTAAGTAAGTGCATCTGACTTCATAGAATGCATTCACTATCATGTAAATTAAAGTTTTCTCACTGATCTCAGGATGCGCGTTTAAAGTTCCTTAGAAGCAATTGGTTTTTGTGAAATGAGTACCATATTCTAATCTTCATTCTACTTTTGATATAGTTGCCATTACACAATAAGTTGTTACTATGCGGCTTAGACACTCGACTAATAATGATTAAACCGCATGTTCAAACTGACCTTATCTACTTTTCCCTAACTGACTAGACAATGTCACAAATTTGCTACACATTAATTGTAACTAATACTTAAGTGCATGGTTATGTGAGAGATTGTTGAGGCGTTTTCCTTACATTCTTCTGTTGCTTTTCAACATGATTTATGTCAATCTATTGTACTTATTGCCAAGATGAGTTAGGTTACTTGAATTTAAATAATGGCGGTCTCGAATTTTGTAATGGATATGCGATTTTCGGTTTAATCAACTTGCTTTCTACTGTTGTTGAGTACTGTACGTGTAACTCCCTCATTCGGTCTCCTATGACCAAATAATTGAAGTTTTCTAATGTTATTTGTACTTAAAGACCATTATCGCTTAATTGATGAAGTTACTAACTGTTAGTCTGAGAAGTATAGGCTTTTTTGAAGTTCCTTGACTTGCGTTTAATCAGTGGTTATCAACAGTGGATGACAGCACCCAGAATGGTTGCTTCAACACGTGTCAAGCGGTGAAATTATAGAATAGCCAAATTCCTAGGTTGACTAGACCGAAAAATAACATGAATACATGAATTCTTCAACCATTACTTCTTATCGTCTTGAGAGCCCTATGCAGTTGACCTAAACTATTCAGACCAGTGGTCAAGATCATGAACTGTTACCATTCTGGTAAATACTACTACAGTTCATCGTATGTCCCCTTTTTTGAAAGATCTGCCGAGATTTATATTTCACTGAGAAACTCATTCAATGATATTCCTATTATGTTGTAAAGGGTCAGTAAATGTGACGCCTTGATTTACTTTGCAGTGTCGACCTGTTTGAAACCACATTCAAAGCAAACGCTTGAACTTTCACAGTCAATAATTCACCGTTATTTCATTTCGGCACAGAAAACAGTGTAGTTTATTGATATTTGATTCTTTTTCGCTTGCAAATCGTGTAGATAAATTTGGGATAAGTAAGACAGATGTATTGATCATTGTTTTGTTTTGTATCGTTTCCCTGTGGGTGCATATTCCGACTTGTGTGTGTGTGTGTGTGTGTGTTTGTATGTAAACAAAGTTGCCTTTACAGTTGCGTTTACATCGCGTTACCATACAAAGTTGCCTTAGTAGATGGTCAAGTCGTTTCTTTTTTGCTGGTCATTTTCTGACAGTTGATTTCTTACTCTTGCTAATTAACATCATAATTCACTGCATACATACTATGTGCAGTTCAGAAATCATGTGGTCGCTTGTACATTAAGCACTGAATTACACCTATTGTGTAACGCCTAATGATGATACTACTACTTGACTGCCAAAACATCTGGTTAAAATCCATGACTCATTGCTCAGACCAATAAGTTACAGTTCCTCTTTATTTTTTGTAGGCAGCTATCAACAATGTAGGTGTAGTCGTTGAACTATTTGGTTTGCAAATCATTTTTTGCAGAACTGGACTAATGACATCAATCAGTCATCGAATAGTTACTACAGTGTGGTTTTTAAATTGAAATATAAATGCGAATTTCAGTATTTGTATAAATCTCGTGGTTATTGATGATATTAATCATTTGGTCATGTTTTTACCAGTTTTTACTCTGAACATACATATCTTTGCATCTGGGAACACAAGACACTGCCTAATTCTAGTATTATTATTATAACTACTGTTATGGTTGATTTGGTCTTATTTGTAATTTCCCATCGTTTATCATACTGGACTGAAATGCTCGTCCCTTGTAGAATAAATACATTTGTAAGATTCCAGTAAGGTGGAAAAATAAATTTCTGACGTTTCGTGACTTCGTGGAAGTATTTTCTTCAGAGAATAAAGCCTGCACAAGTTATCTCTTATCCAAATAGTAAATGGAGACAAATCCGATCACACTGTCCATACATAGTAACAATATGGGAATAAATGTTATTGATACTGGGTGATGAATGAAGATAAAATGAAAATTCGGGCCGCGGCGGGATTCGAACCAGCCACCACTAAGTTTCCTGCCCGGTGGTTTACCAATACCAATACTAGTCTACCAAACCACCGCTATCTCAGATAGTCAAAATGATAATAAATGTTATGGTTATCAGTCATTAGTCCGTTGAGTTCAACGTGGAGATGTAGGAAAACTACTATGGATGAAAAATTCAGTTTGTTTTTGTGTTTAGGTACTTTAGTTGTGACTAATAACTGATAACGATAACATTTATTTGAACGTATCCTGACCAACAATGGAGTAGTATATGGTTTGGAAAAACTCGGGCACGAAGTTAGTATGATTCGTCGTATAAGGGTATTTTACTTGTTTAGTCTCGGCGTATTATATTAAAACAAATAACAAATAAACAAATATTTTGTATTGTTCCTCAACGTTTCAAGTATGCTAGTTATAGCCTTCCCATCTTGTTGTCATGTGTGAGCAATGTGATTTGATTCGTGTCGATGCGATAACCTATACAGGTTTTATTCCTTAAAGAAGCGACTTTCACAAAGTTGCGAAACGTCAGAAATTGATTTTTTTCACCTTATTGGGATTTTACAAATATATTATATGTATATTCATTTTACGTAATACTCAACTTATTCAACTCTATCGGGTCAAATTTTGATTCTGAAGTCCGAAAAATAATCGATTCTTGTTCGGATATGGGTTACTTGAATAGAAATCTCCAAATTGTATTGAGTTTCATTGTGATGTTATTAGTCTGATGATAACTAGCAGTAGAAATTGGAAATCAGAGCTTATCGAGATGTCTTTTGGAGAAACTCATGTACAACCAGAGACAGGTGGTTTTCGTTCAATAAGATAACGAAAAATTGCATGTATACACGGTTAAAAAATGACACCTGTTGTGTATGATGTGTTTCTTGTCCTAGGTTTTATTACTAACCTCAGACAAGCACATAGATATAGATCATTCATGTAGGCAATCAACGTTTGACCATTTGGTTATAGGTTTCAACTGGCTCCAACTGCAGACATCTAGAAACCCAGGTATTATCACCAGACTTCACACAATATATGTGGTTCATTGCGTAGTGCCAAAACATGTACATGACTGTTTTCTTATTGTCAAGTAAACTACTTCGAACTCAATAAGAATATGCAGCCATTTAACAACTGATGGTATCTATACTAGTCCCATTGTACTGTGAGTATGACGGTAGGAATAATTCACAACATATAATCAATAGATTTTCGAAACTTTATAGCAGCCAAATTATGCCTTGACACTCCATCTATCTCTCAGCATGGTAACTGTAAGCACTTGGAACTGGATATGATTCCAGGCCTAAAGAGGGTATCAGTGATGCGGGTTAAAGAAAATAATGTCGAAGGTCTCGATGTTTTTCAGTAATTCCTCTACTTTGTGATGTCGTCGAAACATGTATCTGTTGACGTTTGTGTGAAGGGCCGCCGTCTGGTCAGTTGACATGACATAACAGCAATCATATGGGTACATATAGATGAACACATCGATTGTAAATGCTACAACAATGAAGCTCGAAAATTTTAAGGGAATTCCTAAATGTATGGTACTCCAATGAAATAGCAACCACCAAATACGTAGACACTAAATGAATATAAGAACTAATAAGTGAGAATGAATCAGTCAACTGGAAATCATTGAAGGAAATCAGATATTAGTTCAACAGCATAGGTCAAACGGTTACAATGGTTATAAAAGTCAATTCTAATCTCTGTCCAATGACCCTCAAACTCGTTGAGTATCTTTCATGACCGTTCATAGAACATGGGAATGAGTCACTTCTTTTTGAAATAGATGGTTATGAATTCGCTCAGACTGGTGATGAAACATTCAGGAAGAAACTTAAAATCTCAAGGAACACAAAACAACTATCAGCTTTCACTTTCACTAGTTTTATTCAGCTTCGTTCTTGAAGTGTACTTAGAATTGTCACATTAAGTCCTATGGCTTACTACGAATTTAATTATATGATTTCTGTTAGGGATGCCTAATCCCTAAGAAAACTAACTTAATATATGTTTAAAATGTGTAAAATTTAAAACTTATTTTCACACCCTTTTTGTTCCATGCCATGTCAATTATATTTTACCTCAATTTAGGATACTAAACGCTGATTGGTTCATATGACCCTTTTAATATTCTGTTTTATTTTCCCTGGCCAAGGCCATCGAAGGATATATAAACGACTGAGTCTTCAGCTATTATCATTCAGTTGGAGTAAATACACTTTCAATCCCATTGTCTTCTTCTGGTGTCGAGTTAAAAAGTCATTGTTTTTATCGTTAATCGTATTGCATCCATACCGTGGATCATAACAATTTCTATTTCGTTATCTCTTGCCCTATATTTTGATTTACTGATAGGCAATGCACAGAGTCCAATCATTATAGAACGTATGTTTACATCGACTGATCTTGAAGGCGTGCTTTTGTCTGCCACCCCTTTTCCGTTTTTGTATTCGGTACTCTCTCCATGATGGATATTTCATAATGGCCAGAGAAAAGTATGAAATTATTTCATAAAATCACTGACTACCACTTTAATCCGCACATGGAACTCAAGACTGATTGGTTCTAGGCCACTCTTTCTATCCGTACCTCAGTGAGTATATGCAAGTTAGCGCACCACATAGTGAGGTATATGGATTGTTTGGGAACCTAGGATTGGATTGGAACCAGTGACCTATGCAAATCCATACTCCACAACTCACTTTAATATCAAAATAGATAACCGTTACTTTATAAGTTTTGTTTTATTTTTAGCCCTGTTGGCGTTTACTGCTCATAGTTTATTTTAATTTCGTACTGCTTTTGTTTTTTCCTTTGGTTTGATATTTAAAGTGGTCACAAACAGAACCAACACATTGGGTTGTTAAGTCTCACACATCTCTACCTCTCTCTGTTTACTCGATAACGGATTCATGCTTCTAGATACTTTCATGTCATGTGTATTATTTCATTTTGTGTTTAGTACCATATAAAATTCAGGTTAGTATGAATGGGTTTTTGTTTTTCGATTGTGTTTAGATCTGAGTTGAGTAGAGTGCTCAATCGAGGAAGTACAATGTGGTTGTGGCCTAAGCCCAAATTTGAGGAACGTGTAAGTTGTTGTGAATATTTATTATTGGACGCTGAATTATCTTTTCGACTAACAATCATTAAATCGTATATTCAAATACTCATCATTTATTTTTTTCTGTTGAGTTGGATATTTTACTCATGTAATCCCTAAAACAGTAAACAAATAATACACACGGTTACTTGAAGTTTGTTTTTATCAAGTTATTAAATGACGCGTAATGTTCTTATCATGCTAAACTTTTTCTGAACCACTAACCTTTTGATATCTCTACATCGAATACCTTAAATATTCACTTAGCTTGGTTCGTTAGTCGGCTGTATTAATGTATTACTATTATTATTAATTTGGTTACTTCAGCTCACATAAAAATGGTAACTCTTCGTTGTAATGAGGATTTTCTCCAGAGCAAAACAATGAAGGCTCCACAATTAAGCCGTTCAGCTCAGAGAAGGCAACGCAACAAAGATCATCCATCTTACCTGCAAATATTCTGCATTATTTGTAAATAATGTGTATATATTTTTGTGTTTTACTCTAAGCCATACCTATGTTTGGGAAACTTACCATACTACCAAGTTATTCAGGCTGAAGCTAATGTGTATCTCATGAATTCACAAATTGGTCATTAAATGTTGAATACTTTGGTAGATCGATGCATATCTTCATCCCATCACTATCTCAGCCTCACCTGATATTGTGTAGACGCCCATCTTTAAATATCCCTTAGATATTAACTTATATTCTTCAGTTCACTCCTGGATATTCCTGAACACTTTCTTGAGTAATAAATATAGATATTCAATTTTTAGGTTCCTGGGAATTTATTTATCGACTTCAGGTCGGTATTCATCATGGACTGACATTAATTGGAGAAACATTGGGAACCTGGAAGCACTGTGAACACTCAACGGTAACGTGCTGGTTGCGGAGCGTGAAGGTCCCGGGTTCGGGCTCTAGTGGGCTCGTTGGTGTGCACTGTTGAGGGGCCCCATGCTAGGACGGAACAGCTGTTTGGCGCTCCCTAGTTTCCAGTATTTCTCCAACTGATGTCAGTCCTTGATTAATACCAACCTGGAAGATATATATATATATATATATATATATATATATATATATATAATGTCAGGAAAATTCGTTTGGAGGACTGTTGTAAACGAAGGAGCAATGGTACGGCTGTTTTGTTGTAGACAACGTCATCCCATCGGTGCACATGATACAGAAATCCTTTAGGTTTCATCATGTTTACGTTTCCACTGAATTGAATAGTCAAAAGTTTAGTTGTTTGCATTTCTCCATTTTTTTAGTATACGTTGTCGCATCACCATCATATGCTGTCAAGGATTAACTTGCGTGGGAATTGACAAGGCTGTAGTAAAGGCAGAACGTCTCAGCCTATTCTGACACTGGTTGGAATTAATATCGGTAACTACTCATCAGAATTCAAAATAACACCATTAAACTCTTTAGATGTAATTGGACACTATCAGTAGCGACGTGTATGTTGATGCACTAGGCAATGAATCACGCTTATTGTTTAACACCTATTGACACCGTCTGAATGTCTAAACCTCGTTAAGTGAAGCAGGGTTCGAACTCATGATATGCTGGTTGAAAGTTAACTGTCTGGAAGAATGAACCATAGGTCTGACTACTTTAAAATGCATTTCTCATAGATGTAAGGGAAATATCTGTAACTACATAAATCCTACTATACCAGTATTATATTTCTTGACTGTCAACTTAATCTATTTGTTTTATGCAGATAGAATTGTAGTGTTTGTGTGTGTGTTTTAAAACGTGAACCGCTTTAATGATTCAGAAGTGCTTTTTTATGAAATATTGTGTACTTGGGAGTAATTGACTATATGTACCGAAATTATATGCGTAAGACAACTTTGCATCGATTAAAATTATCATATTTCGCCATAATTACTAGGAAAAAAATCAACTGTGTAAAATAAAAATATCAAAAGCAAGTTACAATACAACCCAGGTGGTAGAAGTATGGCTCATTGGTGTAGGCAGTTAACTTTCAGCCTTTTAACCGTGGTTTCGAACTCCTCTCCACCTACCGAGGTTTGGGCAGTTAGGTAGTATCACTAGGCCTCACACAATAGGTATGGCTTATTGCCTCGATTTTTCGATGACTTCTAGTCAGTTGGTCGTCGATTCGAACCTCGTCCCATCTGCTAAGGTTTGTGTAGTTATTGATTACATACAACTAGTCCTATCACAATAGATAAGATTGATTGCCTAGTGCACATAAAGGCACATTTTCGCTATGTTACAATATTAACATCAAGGTAAATATTGTATGAAGCCAACTATTTTTCTTACTCAATTTTAGGCGTATCACTTTTAGATTCCAACAATATATTTCTGAAAATCCGGAGAGTCTAGGTAACTGGACAGTTGTATTCCGTCACATAGCTGAAGCCAATAATCAGTGTAATCGAACTATTCCCATTCCAAGAGAAAATTTAGAACTTTATAATCCATGACTACCTTAAATCTATACTAAATATCCTTAGCCATTATAGTTGGTGTAGGTTAATAACACTCACAAGTGTTTTCGTCACATTCAATACAGTCTCCTTTCTGAAATTTATCAGAATTGAAATGTAACTGCTTAAACGCGTCAACATTGTTAGTCAGTATGATTAAACTGAATGTATTCTGAGTCATTTGGACGAAATGTGAAGTAGTTTCTTCTGAGTTAAAGGTGATAACAACAGGCTTTCAAACGTTATCCAGACAACTATATTCCTTTTAATCCACTTGCGTAACACAAGCGTTTGTTGTCACATATCTGAAGTAAGTGTACATATTCAACGCGATATTAATCTGATGTAATATATGTGCAGTTGATTATTAAAATGGAAAGAAAACTGGATTGGAATCAGATTGTCTATTGAACAATCAATGAGCAACTTTCACTTTCTAGTTCTCCTTAGTTTGAACTTTGATGAGATGTGGGTAGTCAGGGACGGGGACGATGAACAAGTCATATATCACTCATTTATATGATCTCTGGAGCTCTAACTACTGTTTGTCACTTTAGAAGCACGAATCCAGAAGTTACCAGTGACGTGAAGTTTAAGTTGGTTGATGCTGGTTCACACCTTCAAAATGTATCCGACAATCGGCTTTTGCTATGTCTCTGTCAGTGAATGCATTATTTGATTTCTCACCTTAAATATCTCTAGAGGTATTCCTACCACAAGCCAACGTCTTACTAGTTTTTATTCTTTCTTCTTAGCACTTTCTAGTCAATTCGAAGTGATATTATATGATTTAATTTAACTTCCATAACTCTACTATTTAGGTGTACAATCGTTTGTTCAGTCAACAGAATAAGGATAACTTTATTGTGTACAACTCGTCTACAATTCCTGTACACTGGGAGGTTACCAGTGGTAGTAAATTATTCCCACCAATTCTATTAATTGCTGCACCTAATTACATATTTAATTCAACTGTTTGGCCGTTGAATATGAGTCATTACAATTTACATGAACCTAAAGGTATGCATGGTTATGATCCAGAATTGCCTGATATGCATATCCCCTTGTTCATCTATGGTCCAAAATCAAATCCTGGAGTTCAACTGAACTACACCAAAGAAATTCGTTCAATTCATATACACAGTTTAATGGCTCACTTAGCATCAATTCACTTGCCTGACTATCAGTCACTCAATTTCTTCAGATCACTTTTACGGAATTACGAAGATGAACAGGCTTCAGTACTTAGTCACCTTTACTGGTTGAATAAATCATCCTTTTCATCCTTCTTGAATAAAGATCGTTTCATACCGACATTTTTGATTATTACTGCAGTGTTAGCCTGCTTCTTCATAGTGATTGTTAGTTTGATGATATTACTATATATGAGATGTCGTATGTCAATGATCACCGCACAAGTCGCCTGTCAGGATGAATTGAACAAAGAGTTAGTTAAATCTGAGGTGCTTTCTGATGCTTAAGCGCGTTTTTTGTTCTTATCATTGACTTTCCTAGTTAACAAATGTTGATTATTATCAACAATACTTTCTGTGTTTACAAGACGTTGCAGTTGGGAGTGTTTCGCATATATCTAGTTCAATATTTACTTGTGTATGTGTGAATTTGCCTATTGTTTTTCCAGTTATTCCAATTTTACACCCCTTTATAATCAGCTGCACCGAAAACAATCACCAAGGCTATATCTCAGGAGAAGTTATTGTTTTCACCATCATCATCATCATCGCTTGTAGACCATTGTGTGGAATAATATTTTGCTTCCAGCTGTTTAATCTAAATTGCTTCCTTCAAGATAGTGCTTTACCTAGTTCAGATTGAAAGAGTTACCCACTCCCCACCCATTCCTAAAAACGGCCTTTTGTAGAATACATTTATACATTGTTTAGGATGTTAAATTATAGATAACTATCACCATGATTGTATTAACAATAATAATGATAAAATTATTAATATTCTCTTATTGTTATTTTATATACACATGCATATATAATATTCTCTAGTATTCAGTAGTTCAGATGATATGTCTTTAACAGCCTTACCATTTTCTCTTCACCATGTTGATTATCTGCTTCACTGGCATATCTTTTAATTTTCCCCTGTCACCACTTCAATAACACCTAGTCTTCTTTTGCCATTTTTCCACTGATGACATTCACCTTTCTAAACATCTGTATCCGCGCCCCACACGTCTATACATATTCGTTTGTTTTTCTTTTTCAAGATTTCTCTTATTGGTTTTTTTGTTATTGACTGAATGATGATTTCACACTATGATCTTACGTTTTGGTGATGATAATACAAAGGCTTTTAGGGTATGTGTGCGTTTGAAATTGCTTACCTCTTTGCTTCTTTCTATTGCTATCTGTTTTTATTGTACCATAATAGAGTACAATATAGATGAAGAATAATGGTCCTTCATTTTGGAGAATAATGTCTTTTCCCTTTCCAGTGTGGGGGTGGATAAATCAGTGGTTACTATGGCTCAGTAACTTGATGCAAGTTTCTTTATCAAACTGTTAGCCACACCTAATGCATCAGAAGACTTGTAATGCTAACAAGTGTTGCCTAGGCTGAGTTAATCGTAGTATAAAGTATTCTCAAGGTACCACTTTCTCCACGTCAGACAGTAACGACAATCCATTGATCTACAAGTAAATACTCTGCTCAGGCCTGTGATTAAAGACTTAACCTTTTTGCTTTCATGATTTTATATGATAACAGTGACCATTTTCTCATCAGTTGGTCTCCATCAGTGTATAGTTAACTAGAAACTTTGCTGGGCCTCATCAATTCAACTTGTAGGACCTTGATATTTCATACAGTAGTTCACCTTTCTTCAAGCGAGTATTCCTGACTCAATGGTCTCACTAGACGCAACTGGTGTTTGGAAGGCAACCTAAGTCGATTGTTTTTATTGAGTCAAAGTTAATCTTTCTCATTGACTTTTAACATTGCTGATAACACTTCTAGGCTAGGAAACTAAGTCAGTCTATTGGACTAGCGTCTTATTAGTCACGGTGGGCTAGTATTCAGATTTTTTGAGCAAATGATTGTTACCGCTTGAGTAATTTCAAAGTTACGTGGACTCTAGAAACGAACAGAAGTATGATCATACCCCTATTTAAAGCTTTGGTAAAGAAGAACTTACGGTAAGCTTCTATGCTTTTTTTTTCAAGTGAGAAGGGGGTTTCAGAAGAATAATGTATTGACAGGTTACGTTTAATAGTAAAAAAGTCTCTTCATAAGTACTTAAGAAACGTGGTTGTAGGCGTATATCTACGAAGCAATATGAGTTCGTATCGGAACTTATGTAGTTAATGTTGGTTCACTTGACAGTAAAGCGGAATGAATGTTAGCAAGTCAGTGATACAATGTATTCTCACTACTCAGCATACAGGAAGCAAAGTCAAACAGTTTTCAACTCGCTAGTATGTAGTACTTATTACAAATCTCACAATGGACATTATCGATTAAAGTGTTTCGTATATGATTTCAGATAGATAGAACTTGGAACGCAAGTGCATCGGTACAACATAAGTTTTGCGTAGTCGCATACCATGTGTCGTATTACCCGTTTTCATATGCAACATTTCAATCAAATTTATGGTATGAAGTAGAAATTTGTTAAGGCAGTGACCCCCTCCCAACATGTAAGCGTTTTATGCACAGGGAAATTATTAGCGGTAGATCTCTATGAAAGTTGCCTATGATTTATTGATTGTTAAAACCTTGATGAACTTAGAAAAGACAGCTAACTGTAGTCGTATTTTGTATTCCTGAAAAAGTGTAGTGTAGGAAAACTATTATTTGGTGGTTGAATAAATATACATATTACTACAATCAACGTGATCCTGTTATAAACCATCATAGTTATTTCAAATTGTCTACTAAAGTGTAAAAATAGCTGAGAAATGTCAATTATTATTGCGAAGAAACTGGCAATCGACAACCATTCATGGTTTGTGAAAGTATAGCGTATTGGTCTTGAATTACAGTCATTAACATGGTAGATGTAGTTGACTGCTCACTGCTTTTTGCATAATTTCTATGTTATTCTTTAGCCTACCGTACATATACATTACCTCCAAGCATGCCAGATACGGTTAAAAGAAAATCAACCTTTTGTCATCTTAATATTATAAATAGCGTTCGTTCTCAGGGGTCCATATGTTGTTCTATTACTGAACGCAACCACCATTCTGCTAATTAAATCTTAAAGAGCTTATAGATATCCGAGCTGAGTCGCAGATTTGATTGTTTGAAGCCTAGATATTGTGAATTCAGGTTTATTAAAACGTTTATACAACCATTAAGAGTAAATAATGAAAGGTTCATTATGACAGCCTTGCTTTGTTTACTATTCATTCGTGAATTAGGAAAACAAAATGAATTGAAAAAGAACAGTGTTCTACAACCTGTATAGTTTCAATTTGGTAACCAGATAACTCAGATTGTCTCTTCAGTAATCACCTAAGTTTCGTACTGCTGGAGATTTCGAGTGAAAAGATATTCTAATCATTACTACTGATGAGGTTGTATTAATTGCAATGTTTAGTGTAGGCAGTACATTTCGGTGCATTGTATTTAGTTAGTATAAGAAGAATTGAGGAAATCAGTGAGAGGGACTCCTGAAACCAGTCATATGCCTTTTGACACATTTATTATGGCTATTTGCGGTCTCAACTTTTATTCTGAAGCAACTATGAAGTCTTACCTTTCATGACTGCTATCAATAAGATTACCACTGATTTCAGCAAACAACAGCCATAAATACACATCAGTTTAGTGGAATCTTATCGCGGTCCAAGCACATTTTCGACTGCTGTAGTAAATGACTCAGATTAATATGTAGGAAAGACGAGTTTTCTTTGAAGGGTTATGAACAAACTTTTGATAAAAAATACTAATGAAAAACAGAAAATTATGGCTGACAGCCATGAAAAAAAATTCGAAATTTCGAATACTTTTTTGATTGTATTTCCTAAATCTAAAATTGTATGTACCAAGTAGTTTTAGTCTGACAAAGAAGAATAAGTTATCGATTCCATCTCAGTTTCTAGTTTTCTTACAACGTCTATTTTTTGACTAGGGAATCGAATAGAGTGAATAACTTAAATGCTACTCATTAGTCGACGTTACCCTGGATACGATATTATTGTTTGTTATATCGAATTTCAACTTATAAACAAAACGCAAATGTATTCAGAGTTAAAAATTTAGGGTTATATTATGAAAAATGTGGATAAATGAGAATAGAAGACATCCTGTTATATGAAAGATAGAAATAAATGTGAACTTATTCCGTTTTTTATGTGGCTTATAGACAGTTTTCACTCTGGAATGATTTTAGAGATCCATTAAAAGGTAAGAAATATTGAATACTTTTCACTAACTAGTTTTCAAGTCTTTGTCAATATTACCCCAATCATTCTTTTATCTTTCATATCCTAGAGAACATTTATGGTCTAAATCGATGAATTTGATAGTGTTGAATTTTATACAACAAAAATAAGTTTGTTTTCATTCATAAATTGTGGAATTTTACCACAAGGCGAAATGACGCATGAAAATGGTAAATCATTTAACTAATGAATTAATGTGTATTTGTGTTCATTTACACCTTCTTTGAAATACAACCTTGAAAAGATTATTTGACAGTTAGTTTACATTAGAACAGTTCTTAGGTCATATTTTGCCTTGAACATGGGAGACTGTCATTTTCAAAGCAATGCTTTAGTCCAGACGGCCTTTTTGCTCGTCTTGGTCCCAGATTATAAGCCGCCCACCGGGAAACTTAGAGCTCACAGAGTCTAAATATTCATGTCACCGGAATCTGGCTTGTTGACTTGTATGGACCGATATGCTTTATGTCGGATGATCAGTTTGCACTGTCCATTTCGACATTTATCAAAACTAAGTAGCTTTTTAACTGCTTAAATGTCATGTCAACATAGTTTCCATTGGAACCCATTTCAAAGCCAAAATCACAAGTCTCATGAACTACCGAACAGCATGAGTAGTTGGAAACCACTCACGATGGTGTATAGATTTGGCTAACCAGATCAGAGTAATCTAATCACTCAGCTATAACTGTCATATTTTATTCTAATTCTTCGAGGCCGATTTGAAAGTCACAAGAAGATATTCTTCTCGTTTATATGTCGAGAATTCAACATTAGTAAATCAGTGTTAAGACGAATATTTGCCTGATCAATGAAACTATATATGCTTACAAAAAATATACTTAACTGCGAATGTATCCTTATCATATTTCTTTTTTAAGAATTTTAACAAACGCAGTAAGAACAAATTGTGCAGTTTTCATTTTGTTTCACTGCACTTCAAGCTTTCCTTCTATCATGTGTTGGAATATCGAACTTCAAATCTAAATGATGTCCACTTTTATTCGTTACTATTAATAACCTGTAAGCAGTTGAAGTGAATACAGAACAAAATAATCCGTGGTGTAAAATTTGTTATTATTACATTATTCACTCAGTGTTGTTGATGGAAGGTGAATCTGTCGATGGATGAAAAGAGGATTCGATAATGCATATCTGATATTTGTTTATGGTATCCAGATGTCATTACAAGATTTCTCGTATACACCACCAAATAACTAAAATGTGAGACAGTCAAATGACTAGTAACCATTAGTTTATTGGTTTGGCATCAAACTGAATTTCACTGAATGAACCTGTTTTATTAACAGATAAAGAGCGTTCTTTGGCAAAACGCTTCTGTGACTAGCATTACTATGTTGACTGTAGACAACAAATATATGTCAGTGTCTTATGGTGAACATAAATAAAAATTAAAACTTATTATTGTGTATAAAAAAACACTGACTGCGAATTTTCTCAGGATAAAAATTGATTCATCCGTTGGTGCATAAACTCTTCATGATTTTCTATCGATAAGTAACAATTTTCATCAATGCAATTTATTGATATCATATCTTAACAAATTTAATTTTTTTTTTTAAACACCCACAAAATAGCAAATTGAGGAGAAAGAGTTAATTTGGGATGACTTTCAAGGCCTCGTTGACAACTGCCGAGATAACCAATTACGCTTCTTTATTTTGCAAAAACAACGTCAGTCGAGGCCTGATTGGTTATTTCAGCAGCTGCATAGCGTGGCCTTCAAAGTCACTTGTTAATTTGGTGCAGTTGTGAATTCAGTAGTCGTTTGGCCAAGTATCTTTAATTAAGTTTGATGACCTTAGATTGATTGATGGACAGAATTCCACTAAGATGCCCTCTAAACTCTTACTGTTGATCCCTGATTTCACCGAAAGTTAATATGCTGTCATGTTTAAACAAATGAATTCAGGTGAATCTCATTGAGCGTTGTCATAAAAAAGTGAATTCGGTTTTCTTTGTACCCACTTGATAATACTTGAATACTTCACTTACCTTGGAAGTA